GATATTGACATTAATATGATGTTTGTAAATTCATATTGGCATTGATATTAATATGAGTATGTACTAATCTTTCTATATTTGTATGAGCACAAATAATTTTACTAGTATTATGCATGTTCGTACTAGCCGAAGTATTAGTGTTCATACTAATATCAAAATTGTTCTAAAGAGACTATTAATGTCGGTATTCGTACTGAGAATAATTTTGTTAAGAACATGAGCATAAATACCCGTAGGAATATTCATACATATGCTTGTATTGGTATTAATACTCGTATTAGCATGAGTACTAGCATTAGTACGTATCTAGGCATGACGATTCTTATATGAATATAAAAGGGGAACATGGTTATTAGTATTCGTAAGAACATTAGTTTTCCTATACATTAATGCTAACTAATATTACTATGCATATTAGTATTGGCAAGAACATTAAAGTTCGTGTTCACATCAGTTCTAAAATTGGTATTGGTGCAATTTTTTCAATACTAGGACTAGATACTAGTAGTAGTAGAATTAAAATTAGCATGAACAAAACATGCGTTGGTATTCGTCGGAATATGAAACTTGAGGTTACTCTTCGTATGAGTTACTAGTACTACTGGAAAACATGCCAATGCTGATATAAATACGAATGCTAACATTCATGTATGAGCATTTTATTATGCACGCTCGCACTAGCCTTAATGCTAATATTATCATGACTATGAGTACTCCGAAAATGAGTAATTTCACGAATATGCGTAGCCAATATTCATACTAGCGATAATACTAGCTATAGTATGTATATTAGTATTCGCATCAAGACTATTTTTACAATGTACATGATTTCTAGTATTCTTGGGAACATCAGTATTCATACTAGCATTACTATCAGTTTCACCAGTAGTATTACTATAAGTATTAGTACTCGTACGAGTATTATAGTTTTCAACATTTTCAAAATAATATCAATATTATTACAAGTATCAGTTGCACAGACCCGTCAACCGGCGACGTCGCGAGGTCGAGTTCCCTAAATTCTCTAATCACTGCTTCCATGCCTCGAATTTACAGAATGCGTGAGTTCCTGCAGACTCCCTAAATCCCCAAAGTCTTTACATACCCTAATTTCCAGCCCCATGTGTTGGTTTTAGCCCATTGCCTAACTTTCCTGACTCCCAGCCAGGACCATGTGTTGGATTTAGGGAATTCCCTAAATTCCGTAAATTCCCTAATTTCCCTAAATTCCCTGAATTCCCTAAATTCCCTAATTCCCTACATTCCCTAAATTCCCTAATTCCCTACCCCATCTGTTGGACTTAGGGAATTACCTAATTCCCTAAACTCCCTCAATTCCTTAAACCTAACCCTTATAGGGAATTCCCTAATTCCCTAAATTCCCAAAATTCCCTAAGTCCATACCCCATGTGTTGGATCTAGGGAATTCCCTGTTTCCCTAAATTCCCTAAATTCCCTAATTCCCTACCCCATGTGTTGGATTTAGGGAATTCCCTATTTCCCTAAATTCCCTATATTCCCTAAATTCCCTAAATTCCCTATACCCATGAACGGAAACCACTGAATCTGATCCATGGGGGTCAGAATTAGGGAATTTAGGGAATTTAGGGAATTTAAAGAATTTAGGGAATTTAGGGAAATAGGGAATTCCCTAAATCCAACACATGGGGTAGGGAATTAGGGAATTTAGGGAATTTAGGGGAATAGGGAATTCCCTAAATTCTAGGCGGCCCAAAGCCATTCCCCCAAATGAGGGTGCTGATTCATCTTTGGGTGCCGCCTGAAGGTCTTGGTGTTGGCCACCTTCCACTTCGTAGTTGCTTTAACTTAGGCTTGAGATTTGACGTTGAGGCGAGTTTTACCCTGCTGATGAACTAGATGCTGCGACAGTAATCGAAGTCGCTTGAAAGGAACATTTCGCTCGGATACTCAATGGTCAGTTTCACTCACTGATCAACTAGATGTTGCGACAGACTCAAAGTCGGTACGAGAGGAACACTTCGTTCAGATACTCCGCAATGGTGTCCTTAGAGGGCTTGCCGCGATGGTTCCGAAGGATGATCCGCGACAATGAAATTGCCCCTGGACGATGCAAGCTGACTACATGTCAGCACGGTGCCTGAACCGCCCTTTCGACGTGCTTCAGATGCATAGTTAGAGGGGCCATGTGGGCCTGGCCTCCCATGACGGCCTTGGTCGCGGTTTCAGCGCTAGGCTACCCAGGCAGCACGCTGGCGTGTGTGAGGTAGCACGCTGGGCTGTGAGGTAGCACGCTGGCTGGTGAGGTGGCACGCTGGCTGGTGAGAACGCAGGTCGGGTAATGGTTTGGGCACCACTGCGGGCTAGGCTCGGACCTGTGAGCTCTCGGATGCTCTGCGATCCACGTCTCCTCCGCCATTGCCTTTCGGGGCGACAGTCCTTCCACCTCGTCGTTGCGTTGCGGACTCAAGCCGCCACCTCCGCGCCGAGTCGGCACGTAAAAGTGAAGCAGCACGTTCCATTCCGGGAATGCAGTAACGTCAGGGCGGAAGATTAGTGTAAGAGTAAAAGTCCGTTTAGGGGTTGAATGTGCAGCCGTCAGTGCCACCTCGATTTTGGGTTCCGCCTCGAGGTTACAGCGTCCGTCACCAACTTACCCTGAGCTTTGAGGCTGCACGCAGCGACTGTCGAATGGTTGAGGCAGCACGCTCTTGCTCCCCGAATGCTCGAGGCAGCACGCTCCTGCTCCCCGAGTGGTTCAGGCAGCACGCAGTCGTCCGCAAAACTGCCCGGAACCCCGCTCCCCTTTCTATTTTCTCTTTACGAGCACCTCCCCAAAAACAGGCCCACCAAATCCCAACCCCGACCCCAGAGCCCATGCAGGGCCCTTGTTCGTGCTTCTGAGGGATCAGAACGCCCAAGGCGTCACGGCAGCCAAATGCCCACTGCCACTACATCTCAAGCACGTCGAAAGGGCGGTTCAGGCACCGTGCTGACATGTAGTCAGCTTGCATCGTCCAGGGGCAATGTCATTGTCGCGGATCATCCTTCGGAACCATCGCGGCAACCCCTCTAAGGACACCATCGCGGAGTATCTGAACGAAGTGTTCCTCTCGTGCCGACTTCGATTCTGTCGCAACATCTAGTTGATCAGTAGGGTGAAACTGACCATTGAGTATCCGAGCGAAATGTTCCTTTCAAGCGACTTCGATTGCTGTCGCAGCATCTAGTATCAGCAGGGTAAAACTCGCCTCAACGTCAAATCTCAAGCCTAAGTTAAATTAACTTAGGCTTGAGATTTGACGTTGAGGCGAGTTTTACCCTGCTGATACTACGAAGTGGAAGGTGGCCAACACCAAGACCTTCAGGCGGCACCCAAAGATGAATCAGCACCCTCATTTGGGGGAATGGCTTTGGGCCGCCTAGATAAATCCAATGGGTAGGGAATTAGGGAATTTAGGGAATTCAGGGTTGGTCTTGGGGGGGGGCTAGCATATATATATATATATATATATATATATACACACACACATACATACATACATGCATGCATGCTGATACAGATGTATGTACATAGACTCCGCTGAAAACCAGGTGTTAGGTTCTACTGAGATAGCCCACATTCCTGGATGTGGCAGGTGGTCCAGGCTGTAACATCACCCAAACCCAGAAAGCAGAGGTCTCAGAAAGAAACAGTTCGGAACACCTTGTATTCCGGGTCTTCAGAAAAGGGATGCTGTATTGAGGCCCCACATTCTCTAAAAAACCCATGTACCCAAGCCCACTAGCTCGGAGGTGTCGGCGGAAGATGGCCCCGCCTTCCTTCAGCTGCACCAAGCTACCTGGCCACTGACTGGTAGGATGCCAAACGCCGATCGATGGCTTAGATAAACCCTACACCTTGAAACAATATCAACCCCAAAACCCAACGGCTTAGGATTTACTTCGGCCAGGTCAGGGCTCACACCAAGACGTCCCAATTCCCCTGAATTGCATCTTTGCTGAGTTCAGGGTTTAGGGTTTAGGGTTTTGTTCGAGGGGCTACTCCACTAATATGCGTTTCACTACGCTTGCCGTGCATCGCAACCTACTGATGCGGCCACATGCGGATCCCTAAACCCTAAACCCTAAACCGTGGATCTGAGTCGACCATTATTCCTGGTTGTCGGTTGCAGGGTGGAGGTCGTTGGGTTTCGTGTACCATGGAGACAAAGCCCAAAAATCCACAAGGCTTTATTCAAAGGGGAGAAGGAGGGACCCTTCCTGAACCCTATTATGGGGCTATATAATGGGTACATAATAGCTATATTAAGGGTATATACCTAGGGGTCCTCATTAGGTTGGATTTATACTCGACCGCTCTAACTCTAAACATGATGCGCGGAATTCCACATAGGCTTCCCTGAGGGTAGCTCCTATCGTCTTGAGGTGCAAAAGACGGTGGAAGGCCTTGAAAGTCAACAACAATTGCAGCCTGAACACAAGAACCCAACCATCAACAAACCAAGGCACATCAACCCCCTAAAATCCCAACCCGCCCCCTTATCAAAACCAAAAAAGCACCTCTGCCATTCAAAACCCCAAACCGTATACCCTAAACCCTATACCCTAAACCCTGAAACCCCTAAAACCCTAACCCCTATACCCTAAACTATACTGAACTTAGAACCCTAGCACAAATTATAATTTTAGCTGTTTCTTAGGGATTATAGTAACCAAAAATTAAAAGTTATTTCTAAGTACCCCTAAGTAAACCCTGAAACCCCAATCTCGCCTTCAGTTTCGTCCCTGAAGTGCTCGTACGTGCCCGTGAAGTCCCGGAGCTGCGCCTCCAGGAGAGCCAACCTGAGGTCGTCTTTGGGGTTTCGGATTTAGGGCGTAGGGTTTAGGGTTTTGAGGGTTCCTGTAAAGGATCTATAGTAATTAGGGTTCTGCAATACAGGAGCTTGGGGTAGGGTTTAGGGCATAGGGTTTAGGGCTTAGAGTCTTCAGGATTCTTTTAGAACGCAGTGGGCCTTGTGAGAGCCTTATGGCTAAGGGTTCAGGTTTGGGATTTAGGGCTTAGAGTTTTCACGGTACGATGAATACAGGGTCCTACAAGGTCGATACTATCGGCACGATAAGGGGTTTAGGATACTAAGGGCACTAACAACGAACGGTCCTACAAGGGTATCTAACAACGGTACTACAAAGAGATTGGGATTTTAAGGGTACTATAGACCAGGGTCCTATAAGGGTGTAGGTTTACGGTGGTTTCATTCTGTTTAGGTGTCTAGGTTGGTTTAAAAGCATCGTCCAGGGTGTTGTAGGGCTGTTATGGTTCTTTATGGTGTTGTGATAAGGAATTCAAGGAGCCCTATAATGGCATAGAAGGCTTTGTCTAACGGTTTACCTGATTTTTAATGCTATTGTACAGGGTTTCATTCAGATTGTACAAGATTTTCAGGGCGTAGCGGATTGAGTTTAGACCGCAGGTAGGGGTCGACGACAACTACTAGTATTAGTACTGCAGCCAGCCTTGGGTTTCGAGTTGACTCCCTTCTGCGCCTCCTGAAAGAACAAATCCAGAAAGATGACACCCGTCAACATGTGTATGTATTTACGCATGTATGCACGTATGTAAAAACCACAGCTATGTAAACATGTTATATGTATATAATATGTGTGTGTGTACATAAGAAGTATTTCTGCAGAAATCTGTCAACCTATCCGTCAAGGGGAATACGCTCATCAACCTTGAGCCCTGAAACGCCGAATGCTGAAGCCCTAATGTAGGAACCTGATTAAGGAACCATGGGCCTATAACCCCAAAATAGTATGATTCATAGAAGGAACCCTAGTAAAGGCCCAGGTTTCTAGATCAGGTTCCTACATTACCCCACATGATGCTTTGTAACCACTTGCACTTGGGGGATCATGGGAGTTAGTAAGTAAGGTTATAAGTACCTTAATTGGGGTTATAAGTACAGTTACCCTAATTATAACCCTAGTTACTAAGTCCCATGATCCTTTAAGCATGCTTCAGGACGATTCAGGCCAAGCTTGTTTTACTAAGCCTTGGTCCTGGAAACCCTACTGTAAACCCACATCCACTTCCAAAGACCAGAAGGCCCTGTAAAGATTCAGAAATACTGAGTCACTGAGAGCTTAAACCCCAAACCCCACAACCCGAAATAAGGTAAAAGTAATTTTTTAAAGGCACAGTAGGAGCTTGGGGTACCTCATGGTATACTTCCAATAAAGACCCACCCGTAACGAATAATGGAGGTGATGATTTAGAGAGTCACAATAGGAGCTTGGGGTACTTGACAGCATACTTCTATTAAGGAACCGAAACGCAAAATGGAGGTAATCATTTGGGGAGTCACAATACGAGCTTGGGGTAAGTGGCAGTATACTTCTAACAAAGAACCATACGCAAACTGGAGGTAATCATTTGGGGAGTCACAATAGGAGCTTGGTGTTCTTGCTTTTATACTTCCAATCAAGAACCGTGCGAAAATGAAGGCAATCATTTAGGCTTGCATGTTAAGTCTTAGTTGGACTCTGCAGAACCTGCCGTAGTAGGGCCCGCATGGGGGCGTATACCCGGATTGTCACATGTCCAAACAAGAAGGTTCTGCAGTGCCCAGGACATGTTAAGTCTTAGTTGGACTCTGCAGAACCTGCCGTCGTAGGGCGCATCGTATACCAGGATTGTCACATGTCCAAACAAGAAGGTTCTGCAGTGTCCAGGACATGTTAAGATCGTATACGCGGATTATCACATGTCAAAACAAGAAGGTTCTGCAGTGTGCAGGAAGATGCTCAACCCCAAACCCTAAACCTCGGAAAGCTGCAAAGGTGCAAGCAGGCCTGTCTGAAAGACTGGGACAATCTGGCACAACTCCGTGGTGGAGCGTGGCCTTCGCACGAGCAGTGGCTCAGGTAGTGCAGAGTCGAAGTCTTGTAGCCCTGAAACTGCTGATGGTATAAATCCTGCACTACCTTAAGGGCCCTAAACTTTGGGAATTACGGTATGTTCCTTATTGTGGCTGATGCAGGATTTATATCATCCAACGAAGAACCGTAGACCTAAACCCTTGATACTAGACAGAATTTCTTCACTTTCCTTCTTATACCCGGTATTTCTACCGTTACAGCACCAATAACAAAGCCCTTCAAGAAACCCAACGCAGGCCAGTTTCTAAGAGCATGTTAGACTCCTTCAATCCGTAGCCCTCTCTTCAAACAGAACCGGGCGCAACAAAGTTCAAGCTTTACAAGACAGGCCCAAAATCTCAGGCCAACAAGTTTAAAGTTCTCCCGGTGGCGAGCAAGAGCCCCCTAAACCCTAAACCCTAAACCCTGAACCCTAAACCCTAAACCCTAAACCCTAAACCCTGAACCCTGAACCCTAAACCCTAAACCCTGAACCCTAAACCCTAAACCCTAAACCCTAAACCCTAAATAGGTGCGACTGACAGACTCCCCCTTGTCCAATCCTCTTGCCTCTAAGCTCCTTACAGGTTTTAGGGTTCCCTTCAGGGTGTTAGGGTTCCTTTACAGGGTCTGGGTTTCGGGGTTTAAGGCTTTAGGGTGTAGCCGGAAAAGAAGACTAGTCATTGAACCATCCATTAGGCCATTAGGTGGATACTATGACACACACACACACGAAAACTATGCCCTTATGGGGGGGGATCCAGTTACTCAGTGTGCATAGACACCCAGACCTGCAACACTAGACTCAAATCCAAACAGTGCCGAATCCGGCTTACAGCCTCATGTTTAGTGCTGGAGCCCGAACAAATGCCAATCTTGCCGCACGCAAGACCACCTCAACCACACAAGTCATTTCGAACGACACCTGACTAAGCCAAGCACGCTATCGCATAACAAACTTAAGCTTAAGTGCAGATGCACACGACCAATATGCTCAGACTGCATACACAGTCCATCGAAAGTTATTCCGTAGAGACAGACATGAAGAATGACATGAGACAGAACACACATACGATACGATAACGCACATTACGGTATGATACGATACAACATCAGAACACAACACAATACAATACCCTACAATACAATGCAATACAACACAATAGGCTGGAACCGACCGAGCGTACACTACAATACAATACAGAATACGATACGACACCATACAATACAATATGATACCATGCAATACGAAACGAAAACACTGCCCTACATAAAGAAACGCAGCTGTGTACGGATGTACATGGACGTTCATATTCTTTCATATTAAACGAGAGCAATGAATGACAGTGGTGATCTAAAAAGTACACATCGTGTGCGTGTGTGTGTGTATGTATGTATGTATTCATGCATGCATGTATGTTTCTTTGCATTGTTGCTGGTTTGTTCGAACGCACGCGGGTAAACACACATGAGCAAAAACATAAGCATATGTTCCGATGATCCGATTAACACAAAACTGAAAAATAATATGCAAGCATGTATATGTATGTGCATGTGCAGAGACACACGATCAAAGCAGCCACTGCCTGAAAACCCAAAACCCTGCACGGCTTCTCCGGGCCCCAAGCCCGTGCAAGGGAGTTGACCGTCATCTTCACATTTTCGGTTTTCCTAGGTGTCCGAATCCCAGGGGGTTAGGCTCTCGGGATTTTTTGGGGTGGGTTTAACAAGGGTACTTCGGGTGCTTTGGGTTTAGAGTGTTTGGGCCCGGGTTTAGGGATTTGGGGTTTAGGGCTTTAAGGCTGCAGGGCGAAGAAGTGCATAGTATCTTGTGTTTGAGTGCTCAGGATTTGGGGATAACGGGACCTAGCAAGAAGAGATGTGAGATACGGGCCGGATCAGCGCAGGGGCCTTAATACTTAGAATAGGGTCTGGGAGTGTATTCTACTGAAATTTAGGAAGGAACCCCAAAGTGGTACCGGTAGTTATTTGGGCCCCTAGAATAGTATGCTGTGCTGTTGTCTGGGCTTTTTGAACCCCTGGATCCTTCACTATACTGAACTTAGAACCCTAGCACAAATTATAATTTGAGCTGTTTCTTAGGGACTACAATAACCAATCCTTAAAAAATATTTCTAAGTACCCCTAAGTTCACGCACAGGCTATCCGATAATTTAGGGTTTAGGGTTTAGGGTCATCCGCCGAAAAGAGCTAAGACTACTGACGCTGAAAGCTGTCAGGTGAGGGCCCAGGGCTTACAGGTTCAAATTTTAGGGCTGCACACTTAGATCCCAGACCTTCCAAAATCCCCTAATTAAGGAATATATCTTAAATCATAATATTAATAGGATCCCAAATCTGAATGAAGGTATATTCCTTAATTAAGGGATTTTGGAAGGTCTGGGTAGATCGTTGAGCATTTTATGCTTAAACCTTTGGGTGGTTGTCAAAATTAGAGTCCCTTTTTGGGTACCCCGAATATCAGGTGCCGTATTATAATTAGGACCCGAAAAGGGACCCTAATTTTGACAACCACTTTTGTAGTGACTGTAGTGGCCTCCGTCAAACCTTTCGATATCACCTAGGACCTAGGCCCTACTGCATTCATGAATTACGGCCAACCCCGTACCTAAACCCTCAACTGTGTAGAGAGTTGCGGGCCTACTGACACATGCTCACTTAAACCTCAACTCCACTTGGGGCTCACGAGACCAGCTGACCGCACGATAAAACACCAGGAGCTTTGCAATAGCCTGCCTACTAACCTCCATAATCCTGTGAGCAAGCTGGGTGTCGCAGTCCTTGCCTGTACCCTAAACTAAACCTCTCAACCCCAAACATCTAAACACTAGACCCTCAACCGTACATATACAGTTTCCTACGGTATCTAGGGTATATCACGATGCAGTACCTGTCTGTGGACTGTACGAGGACACTAGTCACTAGTACTACTTATTGGCACCGCCATATTAACAACCCGTTCTGACTTGATGCAAACAAGGCCAAGACACTGATTTGCCTCTTTGACTCGTGCCACACAGGCGTCCACGAGTTCCTCGCCCAGCGGCACTTGCTCCATGCCAACTCTGGACCCAACATCTCGCAACCTCATGACCCACAACCTGAAACGAAAGGCTGCACATCCGGAATCGTTACTTCAATCAGCGCCTCCCTGACTTGAAGAGCTTTGCGTCTTGATGTGCAGTGGGTGACAAATGGAACACGGACTGAGGATAGTGCGAAGATACCCTATGTTTTGCCTTGCAGGTACTGTCACAAGGATTACTATGTCCCCGCTGTCTGGCACGTGCTGAAAGTAGGAACGGGGTACACAGCGCGCTTCACAGCAATTAGGGATTATAGGGTTATAGGGCTGAGGGTTCAAGACCGACAGTGAGAATCGTCATGAGACCGCTGGTTAAGACGAAAGGAACGGGATACACAGCGCACTTCACAGTAGTTAGGATTTAAAGGGTTATAGGGCTGAGGGTTCAAGACCGACAGTGAGAATCGTCATGAGACCGCTGGTTAAGACGAAAGGAACGGGATACACAGCGCGCTTCACAGCAGTTAGGGCTTATAGGGTTATAGGGCTGAGGGTTCAAGACCGACAGTGAGAATCGTCATGAGACCGCTGGTTAAGACGAAAGTTATGATAATGATGACTCCGACGTGTGGTGATGGTAATGACCAAACAACTGATATAATTGTGATCCCCAGCATGGTTATGCGCGAACTCTAGCCCTGTTCTCCATTCTGGCCCAAAAACACCAACTTTGGTAGACTCCTACAGACCAGGCAGGCGCCAGTTGGAGACGAACTCGTTTACTGCATGAGCCTAAACTCAGAAAGAATAAACCGAAAGCAATAACCACTGAACAGAATGTCCTAATATCTATACTGAACTTAGAACCCTAGCAAAAATTATAATTTTAGCTTTTTCTTAGGGATTATAATAACCAAAAATTAAAAACTATTTCTAGGTACGCCTACGGTATGTGCAAGCCTGAATGAACGAGATATGGGACTTTCCGAAAATTAGGGGTACCTTTGTTTGGGATTCTTTATAATATGGATCCTACTATTTAGGGTACTATATTAGGGGCCCCTATTTTCGGAAACTCCCATATCGGTCGCATCCACCCAAGCCATGACAAATCCTCCGGCCACAATAAGGTTTTCGGTCTGGAATTTCCTTGAGGACCAAATGTCCCTTAAAAGTAGGGGCCCTATACCCATATACTATGAATCCCTATATGGTATATGAACCTTAAACCCTTTTAGGGTTCATTTCGTCCTTAAGGTTTGGGCTACCCTATGAAAGGATCATGCAGCAATATGTTCTGCCAACCACGAATGAGTAAAAGCTCAATCCGAAATCCAGAACCCTAAAACCCAAACCCTAATCCAATCCAGAAGCCCCAAGCCCGAAGTTCTGAATCCAGACGCCTTAGACATCAAGCCGAACCGTAAACCGTCAATTCCAGCAGCGAGCAGCCTGGTTTTCGGTCATCGACTGCTCGCAAGCGCAGACTCGAGACTCCGTTTCTGCACAGGAGACTTCAGAAACGGGTGAATGCAGGGGCCTTACCCTGAGGGTCCAAAGGACCCAATCATTCGGTACTAGGTTTAGGATAGCAGTTATGTAGCTTACTGTTTGGGAGAGTATATGATAATTAGGTACTTGGACCTTAGGGTTAGCTTTAAGAGAAGACTTTTGGTGGGTGAATTACAAATAGTTTTCACCTGGAGCCATCCGGAATGCTATTCGTAATGACCTGGGCTGCTATGATACCCCTTGCGTGAAGCACCAGAATGGACCACGGACTTCATATGCATGCACGGAGACGGTCTAGGGTTTACATTTCAATCAGGGATCTAAGTACCTTTACATGGGGCGACTCTACACTTTCTCGGTCTCTTGATTCTTCTCAAATACCCTACAAAGGTACAATTTGTTGAAGTGGCGCAGGGTCCGCTAAACTCTATTGTGCAGAACAAGCTGGGGCGCCAAACAGAAAAGAACCTCCCCCTCCCCAAATGATCTCAAAATATGATACCAGCCCAGACAGGAATGCAGCTGGGCCAGGGTAAGTTTAGTCACGGCCTCCTTCGAGGAAATGCAATCCGCATCCTTCCTCCTTTCCACGGACCTCTTCAACAACCCCCAAAACCAGCCACCCCAAAATCCATGAGAACTACCTCCCCAAACTCCTCAAACCCCAGACGAAAAAATTCAGACCCCAAGCCCAAGAAACAAGTCGTGAACCCTTGGACCGAACCCCAAAGCTTGAGAACACGAAACCCGCCAGAAGCCCCAAAGCATCAAGGATCTAGACCCTTTCCCTAGATAAACCCTACACCCGAAATCCTAAAACTGAAATCCTAAACCTGAATTCCTAAACCTGAACTTCTAAACTTTAGACTGAAACTTTAAACCTTAGTCTTAAACCTGAAACCATGATCGGAGGCCAAAAGGTGGGTTTAAGATTTTTGGGGTAGGGGTTCCGTAATATGAACCCTATTATGGGAACCCTAACCCCTACTAAACCCCCATAGGCTAAAACCCGTTTTGGCCTCCCATGACCTAAACCCTAAACCCTAAACCCTATAATTCCTGAGGTCTTACCTGAACTTCTTAACTTTAGACTGAAACTTGAAACTTTAATCTTAAACCTGAAACCAGCCCGGCCTGCTCGAAGCTCCTCTATCTGGGCGGCCAGCTTCGTCAGAGGCTGCAGCGTAGCCTCCGGGGTTTGGGCTTTGCGGTTCATACGTCAGGCATATAGGGTCTAGGGTTTGAGGTTTAGGGTTTAAGGATATCACTATTGCTCATACATTCAGGGCTATAGGGTTTAGGGTTTCATACGGTTGATGATATAAATCCTGAATTACCCATAATAAGGAATATACCATAATTCCCATTGCTTAGGGTCCTTAAGGTAATGCAGGATTTGTATCATCAACAGTACGTCAGGCATTTAGGGTCTAGGGTTTGAGGTTTAGGGTTTAGGGGCATCACTACTGCGGATGTTGGACTGAGCTGGCTGGGGAGCCCGCAGGTTTTAAACACCAAACCCTAAACCCCTCAACCCTAAACCACTAAGACCTATGCACGCTTTGAAAGGTCTTTACCGCAGCTCAGAGGTTTTGAGGGTTCTGGTTTGTGGCTCTTGGGGGCAGCGGGACCCTTAGAGCTCCGAGTGTTGATCTTCACGAAACTGAATACTATATTAAGTAGTGTTATTGTCATTCTTATCATTATTCTATTATTGTTATTTACCATTATTGCGGAAGGTAGGATAATATCTGTGTCGAACGCTGAGCACTACATGAAGCCGCGGTAATGTAGTTCCTTTGCCGTCGGTATCAACAATCGACTCCCAGAGCCTTCCCTGAACTTTAACCTGGGTGCAAACTGAAACAGGTTCTGTCGGTCCCTACTTGGAGGATCATGGGACTTAGTAAGTAATGTTACAAGTACCTTAATTGGGGTTGTAAGTATAGCTACCCTAATTATAACCCTAGTTACTAAGTCCCATGATCCTTTAAGTAGCAAGCCATCCAACCTGCCCTGTTCCCAAGCTCCTTCACTCTGCACTCCAAAACCCCGTTAGGAACCCTGCTATGTAAGGATGTGTAGGTTTTACGACAGGTACTTTCTATGTACATGTACAGGAAACAACTGTCTAGTTTGTCACCGATGACCTCATGCAAACACCAACATAGAAACAACAAACATTCTTACAATGACTATTTACATACATCGGTTCACCAAAGAAAAACCTGAAGACACAAACGTGTATATGCATATGTGTAATAATTTATATCTGTGTATATACACAAACACGCGGGCATCTTTGTATGTAACAGAGACAGGACTCTGAATAATAGAGAGAATCATAATAACAGTAATAAGTATAGCAATGATAACAATGACAGTAGTAATATTCGTATACATCATCTTAACGGCAAGAATCACCATAATCATGAGCTCTCTCAAGCAATATACTTCGCTCTCTCAAACGACTACAGTACTCCGTCGAGAAGACCTTTCATAATCACCATGGCAACCCTCCTGGCAACCCGTCTAGACTAGAACCCTTCTGGAAATCGAGGTGGCAAAAGACTTAGAACCCGAGACCCTCACCGGTAAAGGAACCTTTCACAGATCCCCTGAAGGAACCCTTAAAGGAATCCTGAACGGAATCCTTAATGGTCGTGAAGCGCGCGTCCTTCATTGTCGAGCTCTGGTCTCGCTGACCCTTCGACACCACTTCAAGGTCATCGCACCTGGCAGGCTGAACTCGGTTTAGGGTTTATCATAGGGACCCTTAGGGGGGTAGGAGGGAGGGTGGTAAGGGACTATACTTCCTGAAATAGGCCTTGTTGAGTCCTTATTGTGGGTATTACGGGTTTAGGGTTCAGGGTTTAGGGTTGGTTTAGGTGTTTAGGGTTTAGGGTGTTTCTAGTTGAAGGCTTTAGAACAACTTAAGAGGATTCTGGGGATGAAGGGTGTATCTTGGGTACGGCCCCCATACAGTAACAGTCTCTAATAGGGCTACTATATCTATATTATGACTCTTATGACTATTATCTAACTGTTACTGAGTGGGGGCCGTACCCAAGGTGTATCTGGCTTAGTCGCCTGCTGGCTTCACAGGCGGCTGGGGGTTGCGACGAAGGAACTGCACTGGGGAATAGGAGGTTAAGGCTTAGGGTTTGGGGTTTAGATGTTTAGGGTTCAGGGGTTTAGGGGTCTAGGGTTTGACTTAATAATTAGATCAGGGTTTTGGTGATGTTATAGTGTATGTATGTTGTGCTCCCCGAATTCTGATTTCTCTCTGCTAACGTAGCCTAAGACCGTGCTCACAGTAGCCTTTGTGACCGATTCTGAAGCGGCATGGCAGCATGAAGGTTCTTTCTGAATTTCTTTGCTGTGAGACCGGGTTCCAGAAGAGACAAGAAATCGCAGAAGCATGCCGCGACGAGCTACACAGTGTTCAGCTTACTTGTCCAGTATCAGAAAAACCTAAAGGCTAACCTTTGGGATAATATACGGGAAATCTAATACTCCGAAAAAACCCTACAACCCTATAAACCCTTCACCCTAAAGGTTACCGACTCTACTACTTACTTGGGCCAGTCTTTGCAGCATCTACCGACTCATAGGGTTGAATGCAAAAGCCCTGCCAGTTGCAGCAAAAGGCAGACCTTGAGCAATGAGGTTATGTAGGAAGCCGACTAAGAAACCCTGGGTCTTTCTTAGGGCTCTTTATATGAATCCTGATATAATGGGGTCATACGACACGGGTTCTTAAGACAATCCTGATATATATATATATATATATATATATATATATACACATACATATACATATACATATACATATACATATACATATACATATACATATACATATACATATACATATATATATATATATATTCACATATATACATATAGAAAAGTATATCCATATCTATATATGTATATATATATGATACATACATACATACATAGATACATACATACATACATACATACATACATATTATATGTGTATACACATAGGTTCCAACTTCTGGCATTCTCATTATGACACCCAGCATAGACAGGCATCAATATTCCCAAGGTCCTATATCCACTCGCTACAACCGTAAACAATCTAAAAATCTACTTCCTACAAGACACCGATCCTGAGATATGAAACTTTTTGACACATTATGAAGCCCCATGAAACTCTTCGTACATATCACCCGCAACCCGAAAACTAATCGCTATGAAACCTCATAAAACGCTTATCGAAAACACATGACAAACTCGCAAGAGTCCAAATTACCTATAGTCGGTAACCCCAAAACGGAACTAGAATGGAGACTAAAGGTAAGGCCTAAAAGTTGGAATATCATTATCATAATCCCTTTAAGGTAAATTATAGGGATCCTGCCATTATTCCATATTCCAACTTTCTGGAGTTCCCTTTAAACCCTACATCGCAAGAGTCTGAAAAGAGCCCATAAACCCTGAACCCTAAACCCTAAACCCTAAAACCGTAAACCCTAGGGCCCGAAACCCTAAAACCCTAAACCCTAGAGTCCCGGTCACTGGGCTCCCCTGCCGGCCCTCGAGAAGCCCCAGGCGCTTCTCTGCAACGAGGCGCGCGGGGTTGAGGTCCTGCTTGATCTAAGGCTTTGCACATTTTATAGGGTGTGATGAGTGTTGGAAGTATTCTGTAAAGATGGTCCTGTTCGAAATGTTCTGTGTGTGTGGGGGGGGGGGGGTTTTACATGGGCATTATACTCTTTAGGTTCGTGTTGTTGGCCTGCGGGTGCATGGTCTAGACGGTTTCGTTTCAGGGTTTGCGTGTAGATTAAACGTAAGGTCTACGAGACCATAGACGCTGCATCAGCGGAAAAGGCTTCCCCGTTGCAAGTGATGTACATGTCCCGACATAGTTGTCCGAGCGTCTTGCAGCCGACAGCCAGGCGGGGCCTGACCAACGGTTCTGCCGCCCTCAATCGTCGAAGGTCCGCCTGCGCGGTCGAAAAAGCGATTGGTGATGAGGGAAGCCCTAAACCCTAAACCCTATACCGGAGGTCGTCCCGTCAGGAGCCTCTCGTTCATTCAGGACAGTTCTTCCGGATCTCCAGTAAGATCGGCTCGGAGCTTTCTCTCTGCCGATGTCCCGCTCAATCTTGCACGGTTTAGGGCTTGGGGTTTAAGGTTTAGGGTTTAGGCACGATGCGTAATCACGAACACTTACTATAGGGGCCTTAACAATTAGAATACGGTTTCGGTATCAACGCAAATCTCAGAAGGAACCCTGACGAATGTTGTTGGAACTTCTCCGACGCCTGTATTGCCTACAGCCTGTAAAACCTCGGACCTGCATCCCAAAGCATGGCAGCTCATGTAGTGGCTTCGACAATTAGAAGAAAGTGTTGTGGGCTCCAACTGCACTACCCGCCGACACCCTGATGCATTAGGCTTCTTTAGTATCAGGACTTCCTGAAATTCAAACTGTAAGCCATAACCCCTGTGCGCTAAACCTTAAGCCCTAAACCCCCAACCGACAACCTTAACCAAAATCCCAAATACATTCCCCTAAACCAAAAAAATCCAACCCAAAAGCCCCAACATCGGCTGAAAGCCCAAGCCCAAAGCAAGAATTGGAGGTTTCAAGCATCTCTACTTGGAGGATCATGCGACTCAGTAAGGATATAAGCAGCTTTATACGGGAACTGGAAGTAGAGTTATCCTATATAGTACTATCCAAGGGTAAAAGGAGGGACCCTTAACAAGGATCCCTAGGAATATACCCTTAATATAGCTATTATATACCCATTATATAGCCCATTATAGGGTAGGGGTCGCCATTGAGGGTCCCTCCTTTTCAATCTTCCCCTTTGAATAGTACTAAACCCCAAGCCCTAAACCCCTAAACCCTAACCCTAGTTACTAAGTCCCACGATCCTTTAAGCAGCACTCGGGGGAACTTTCAGCTTCGCACACGGCTGTGGGCTTCCAGGTTCATTACTTGGAGGGTCAGGGGACTTAGTAACTGGTTATTTTAGAGACTTATAAGTACTATAACCGTCCCTTTTTAGGGTACTTATAAGTCTACTTACTACATACTTACTAAGTCCCCCGACCCTCCAAGTAGGGTCAAGGGCTTTGGGTTTGAGGTTTGGGTCTGGGGTTTTGTGTTTGGGGTGCTTGGGGCGTTTCTGAGATAGAGTTGGGATGGGAATCACCATTACATCCCAAAACTAAACCCTAAACCCTAAACCCTAACCATTACATCCCTAGACCCGAAACTGTAATCCGGGAGAGTCGCCAATAAAAATTCTCGCTGCATTCATCCTGCTTACTGTTTACCTAGCAGCTCCATCGTAGTTCCTTTTCGGGGCTCCTATTTAGAATCCTATAAGGTAATCCCAAAAAGGAACTACTATGCCCTAAACCCTAAGCCGTTGGATTATATGGGAACTATACTACCCAAAAAAGGTTAAAGGTTGCCTACTCGACTACGGAGCCTATGTTTAGCCGAAGGAAGAGATGGTCGCAAAACCCTCAGGAAGACCCTATGACAATTGCAGACTAAGGCAACCCTCAACCCCAAATTCTAAACCCTAAACACCCTAAACACCCCTAAAACCCTAAACCCTAAACCCTAAAAAAACCCCAAACCCTAAACACCCTAAACCATAAAAAAACCTAAACACCCTAAAAACACTAAAATCCCTAAACACCCTCAAATCCCTGAAGCCTAAAACAACCCTCATCCCTTCAGACTCCTCGAGCAAGGCATCCTGGACTTCGTCCTTTCCACGGCCCGGGGCTTAGCTGGAAGGGACACCCACCTCCTAATATTCATAGCAATATAGTAATAGTAGCAATAATGGTAATTTATTGCTACTAATTAGTAAAAATACTAATAGTAATTTTAATGCCACTAAGAATAACAGTAGTAGAAATAGTCAGTGATATGGTCATGACGATAGTAGCAATCATAAACTTGCACCAGGACCAGTTTTTGGTCTGCTCGTAAGCTTGTTCTTTTTCTTGCTCTCTTGCTTGCTTGTTTACAGTGTTTATGTTTGCTGGTCTTGCTCGTTTTTCGAGGGCGATGGCGGTGTTTATGGTATTTAGGTCTACGCAGGCAGAGCATTAGGATAAATTTGTAAAAACAGCTCCTGGATCCCGACTATAACATACTATAATACAGTATAATATACTATAACATACTATAATATACTATGATATACTACACTATACTATAATAGAAGGTGCTTAAACAATAACAACTAGTCATGGTAATCGTGATAAAGATGCAGAGCCGTGTAAGAGCAGGCAGGAGAACTGCAGGTCCGCATAGAGACCACCCTTGAGCACTGCAAGGGTGTATTGCGATCCGAATTTCGCTACCACGTATCCAACGGCGGACATTCAGCCGCACATCCTAATGCCCCAGTGGGTGGTTGTCCCTGTGCCGCTGCTGTTGTTGCGCCTTGTTTGTGAATACATACTCAAATCTGTCATTCTGTTCAGACAAGTCGAGAACCCTTCTCCTCGTGTAACAGTCGGTACTAAAAACCCACGATCCCTACGTGAATGCATAAATTACTTCCTAAACCCGCTATACATACTAAGCAGGAAATCCCAACAACAATTAAACAAAGTTGTGGAAACGTGGCAGGAGGAAGCCATGGAGAGGCATTAGGGTGTGCGATTTAGCGGTTTAGGGCTCAAGGGCTTTATGGCTCGGAGGATGTGGACTTGGGGCTCAGAGTTTAAGGGTTTGGGATCTCCCTACCCCCTAAACCTTAAACTAGGACCTCCCAAGGGCTCCTTTAACAGAGCCCTGATGGCCTTGAATAGAGGGTATTTAGGGTATGTTAAGGGTTATTTTGGGGGGTCTAGGTAAAACCTAAGTTACTAAATCCCCTGACCCTTACAGACCTACCCAGACCCCCGGGAGGATCTCGAAAGTGGATCCCCTAATTTGGGGGCCCTACACTACTAGGGGTACTTTCTAGGAACCTCCATTAAGGTATCTACTTTTTGGATCCTCCCCCTAAGCCCTAAACCCTAAACCCTAAAACCCTATAGATCCCTTAAAGGGGCCCTTAAAGGAACCCCTTAAAGGAAGCCCCATTAAGGGATCTACTTTTTGGATCCTTTTCGGGGGCTCTGGGTACAACACCACGGAGCCTTCGCCTCGAGCACAAGATTCCGACCTCGCAGCGTGGCAATTTCCTGGGAAAAGGGGTGGGCTCTTTTTAGGGGCTCCTGAAGGACGAAATGACCCTTAAAAGTAGGGGCCCTATACCCATATACTATGAATCCCTATATGGTATATGAACCTTAAACCCTTTTAGGGTTCATTTCGTCCTTAAGGCTCTTTTTAGGGCTCCTCAAGGGTTCTTTGGAGGGTCTCCTTTTTAGGGGGGCTCCTTTTTCGGGGTATCTTTTTAAGGGCTCCGTTTTTGAGGCTCCTTTTATTAGGGGCTCCTTTAAGGGGTTCGTTTTTAGGGCTCCTTTTTGAGGGTGCCTTTAAGGGTTCCTTTCGGGGGTTCCTTTTTTGGACCCCTTCAAGGAACAATGAGGAATCCTTGAAAGGGTTCCTGGAAAGGTTCCTTTGAGGGTCCTTTTGGGGCTCTGTAAGCCTCCTAGAAGAGTTTCCCGTAAGGGTTACGGTTTTGGGGTTCAGAGTTTGGGATTTAGGTCACAGGGTTCACGAGTTGAGGTTTAGGCTTCGGTTTTAGGGTTTGGGGCTTAGGGTTAAGGGTTCCATAGGGACGCTTAGAGTGTTTAGGCTTTACGGTTTAGGGCTTCGGGTTTTAAGTTTTGCTTTTGCTCTGTAGACAGCTCTTGTCCGGGTCGTCTGGAGGCCTAAGGGACTTAAAGTTCAAGGGAATAGAAGCTTCGTTTGAGGAGTTTCCTTTCAGTGTATCGAGAAGTGCGCAATGTACCGGGAAATTCAGGGGCAGCGTCCTTTAAGGTTTCGGGTTGTTTAGGGTTTAGGGTCTCTCTCTCTCTCTCTCTCTCTCTCTCTCTCTCTCTCTATATATACAAATATATAGAGGGTGGCGAGGGTCTAGGATTTAGGGGCTTGGTTCATCACTTATTTGCTTGTCGGATTGAGGGTTTACGGCTTTACTCAGGCTTTAGTCCCGTGTTACCAAAACTGTATATAGCCCCTTGATTGCAACTGTATCAGCGTCTACATATAAATATGCTTACATGAGGGTGTTAAGATACCGGGTGCAGCGGCTTAGACATTCTTTGCGTGTCGTATATGCCTGTATAATCATAGGGACCCTTAGGGGGTAGGGGGCAGGAGGGTTGGGGACTATACTTCCTTAAATAGGCCTTATTAAGTCCCTTAGTATAGGTATTAAGGCCCCCTACCCCGGTCCCCCCACCCCTCTAAGGGTCCCTATGATAAGAGGCTTTGGAGATGTGAGGTATAAGGCTTCAGCTTCAGGCCAAAGGCTCAGACAACAAAAGAGTTTAGGGTTTAAGGGTTGGGGTCAGGGTTTAGGATTTAGGGTTTAGGGGTTCAGGGGTTTAGGGTTTAAGGTTTGGGGTTTCAGAGTTAAGGGTGAGGATTTAGGGTTTGGGGTGCCCTACAGGATATCCGCATACCGTGGGCTGAAGGTTCGGGGTGCAGGATGTGTTTAATTCTGGGTCCCTCAACACCTGGATTTGGTCGTCTGCTCGGGGTAGGTTGGAAATGGGGTAAGCCTGGCCAAAATACTTGCTAAGCCTTTTTCATGCCTACTTTTCCGTTGCTAAAAAAGCAACCCAAAACCTAAACCCGAAACCTTTCCAACTACGTCTGAAACCCTGAAGCGTATCAACCTACTGGGCGGGTCCTCGTCGATTCTTTGCTCGAAGCTGTGTATCTTAGCCTCAGGAACTGCCATGTTTAGGGTTTAGGGTTTAGGGTTTAGGGGTTTAGGGGTTTAGGGTTTAGGGGTTTAGGGTTTAGGGGTTTAGGGTTTAGGGTTTAGGGGTAAAAGCCAGAAAGTTGGAATATGATTATCCTAACCCTTCTATGGTAAATTATAGGGTATCCTACCATGAAACCATATTCCAACTTTCTGGAGCTCCCTATAATATGTCTTGGAGGGCATAAGGATTCAGTCCTAGACGGGCTCTATGAACCCTCACGCTTAGTGTTTCCGGCGTAAAGGCTATGCTGGCATCATGTCTTGGAGCGCAGGGCTTAGCGGTTGTGTTTGTCATTTTCTACCATTCGTATTGCTGGCTGCGTTGCTGTTCGTAGGCAACTACCTGTGAGGGGTTGGCATCATGTAAGCCGCGATGATAAGAGAGAAGAGCTCTTCATGCCGACTGCTTTACCTAGGACCTAGGTCTTGGATGAACTTGAACGGCATGGCTATCAGCATGATGACCCAAAGATGTTCCGCTTCATGCAGACCTCAACAGCAACAGTGTGTGTTGCAGTGCATCACCGAAAGAGCTCCTAGTCGCAAGTGAGAGATCTCACCAGAGAAGCAACCTAAGACCCTAAACCGAGCAATTAAAGGGACAAGAGCAGCGCAAACCATGACTAGCCAAAATAGTTAACCCGGAGGATGGTTGAGGCCTTGGCCAAAATATAGGCGCTGGGGTAAGAACGTCAGGATTAGTAGGAGCAACAGTGATATTGCTAGTAGTGGTCGCATCGTCGTAATCGAAGCAGGAATGAGGAGGAGGCATAATGGCCAACAGCACGGAAGTTCAACAGGAAGAGTTCGTCAGTTACTTGAAACGACGTGGACATCTACTAAAAAAAGGGATCCCGGAGAAGTCACCCCTCCACATGTACACCGTCCAAATCCCCTCATAAGCCGCACATTGCATAATTAACCATGTCAACCACCTGCAGCCCTGTAAGCATGTTCCAAAACCCTAATATAATAACTAGCTTGCCGGCATGCAGAAAGTAAAGCAGCAACTGTTCATAGATGGTTAACTTTGATATGGCGAGAGCAGCACAAAAGGCTCTCGGGTACTTCTGGGGGACCTCGAAACTCTGAAACAAAATATGCTAAAATCACCCAAAAACTACCCCATAGCCCATAGCCTATAACCCTTAAGAACCTTTAAGGGCCCATGCGCCCAAGTAGTAGATACTTTGGCCCTAAAGTACCTAAATAGGGACTACTTTAAGGCCGTAGTATCTACTACTTGGGTACATGGACCCTTAAAAAACCATCCCCTGAACCCTAAACCCTCAGCGCTAAAACCATAACTAGGATACCTGGGTAACCTAAGAATAAAAAGGCCTCTCTTTTTGGTATTGGGTAAGTTTATAAGGAACCTAGGACTACAAAAAGGGAATAAGGGTACTACTGGGCATCCTTGATAAACCATTATAAACCAGCCCAGGCGATCCGCTAGCTGCTGCGTGTACAAGCAGAACCCCTCCGGCCTCGACATCTTTGCGCGATGCGACCTGCCCCAAACCACATGGGAAAGCGGAGTCGGAAGGTTTACAGTAGGGTTTACGTGTTGGGGGGGATTTAGGACTTACGGATTGGGGTTTGTGATTAACGGGATCGCAGGTTAAGGGTGTAGGGGTTAAGAATTTAAAGTTTAGAGGGGTAGGGTTGAGGGCTTGGGGGCTTAGGGATTAATGCTAGTGGGAGTTTCGGGTGTCAAAAGCATGAAGCATCCCCATCTAGACACCAAGTATCGGGATCCCGAAAAAGAAGCCTCATGAAGCCCTAAAAGTTGGAAGAAACGCTAGCCACCCGAATAACTAAACCCTAAACCCTGATTGAATGAACTTTTTATATGAACCCTAGCTGAGCAGCCAGGAGTTGATACGGCAGAGGGGCATTGCTGACCACCTCTCCTGTGAGTTGGAACTCGCGAAGTCCAGCTGCAGAGGCTTCGATGTACCCATACGCACGTTGAGTTGGGGCGGTCTTGTTCTTGTAGATCGGCCCGCTCATTCAAATTCTGCAACCACGGTGCAGAACTGGACCGTGGACACACGGTGTAAGAAAACTCTGGACCTTGTTGCATTCTTTCCTGGAGACCGTGATCAACACCTGCAGTAGTAACGGAACTGGAGGTTAGGGTTTAGAGGAATAACCTTTGGGGTGACAGCACTCCAGTAAGGAGGTCAGGTTACCTACTCTGCAACCAAGTGCAGCCCCAAACTCAGCCGCTCTATGGGAAGTGCTCAAAATTCTGCTAATCATGCATGAACGAATATCTCTCCAACCCCGCGGTAAATCAGAACTCTGCAGCACATACCGTGGAACTTAAGACTGCAGCTTGAAATGCGCACTCTGAAAGCTCAATCTCAAAACCTAGCACAAGCCCTAAACTGCAAACCCGGAGCCCCGAGTCTCCAAAATCATCCAAAACTGCGAACCTGACAAAAGTAGAATTAGAAACCACCAAACACAGTTGAAATACACAAAACTTGAAACACCCCATAAAACTCCATGACGCCCCCATGCTACCTTCAAGAGACAACTAAAAAGTGGTGCACTCCCCGAACCCTTGCAACACCTGATAAAACTAAGTTTCGTTTGCAAGCGGAAAAAGCACCCCACAACTAAACCCAAACCCTAAACCCTGCATCCCACCATGCTGAGAATAGTATACGGGCCTTAATAAATGGATTAGAATCGGGTTGTGGGGCATACAAGTTACTATTGTAGTAAGGAACCCCCAAATACACAGGTAGTTGTCAAAGCCCCGATACTAAATCCTTATAACAGCCCTTACAGACCCTTTCAAGGAACCCTCCAAGCCCTAAACCCTTAAGCTGAACAGCCCCCAATGCCATTGTTAAGGCCCTTAAAACAAAAAACACATGGAGGCCTGGCGAGTCTCCAGCTGCCAAAGGCGTTGAAATAGGATCTTGATGTCCTACAGTGGATTTAGGGCTTAGGGTTTAGGGGTTTAGGGCTTTATGGAGCTGCAAGGGGGGGCTTTTGATAGAGACTTGGAGGTTCTTAGGGTTCTTGAGAGTTCAGGTTTGGTTTCAGGAGGGTTTCAGGACTTCAGAGAGTTTAGGATTGATTCTGGGGCTCTAGAGATTTCAGGGTTGGTCTTTTTAGGGTTCAGGGTTGACGGTCAGGTCTGGCATTCTAGATTGTTTACAAGCGTTCAAAGGGTTAGTGGGCCTTGGCTTTTATCCTTCGGTCTAATCGATTGCTTTCTTGTGGGGTTCGAGGAGCTTGTCCAAGGGATATGACTTTGGGGTCGTAGGACAAGCGTTGCCATATTGTTGCTTTGAAAAGAACTATCGATAAGGGTTCCAGCAGGATCATGGCACATAGTCACCTGGAAGCAGACCTGCAGCTGCCTGACTTGCAGCTATTGTACTCATAACTCGACTTACAGCCAAGCTACTAAATTCCTGATCATTAAGTGATAAAACTTCTAAACACCACTAAAACTAGCAATGCCAATGCCCTTTAACAAGCTACAAATCCATGGGTCTGGGAACCCTCAACCGTAACTCTTGGATACGTGTGACATGAGCTCACGATGCTCCTTGCCGCAGCTCTCCGCATCGTCGGTCAGTGCATGCGTGAGTGTCGGTGGCTGCTCCGCCATAAGCGCGGCTACAGACTGAAAAAAGGCCCCCAGTTCTCAAGTACCAGAGAAGATTAAACAAGTGAACTTTCCTACAGATGGGGATGCACCGGATAACCCTTGATTACACCGCACCTCCCGAAGCTTCTGAGGGTTTAGGGTTTAGGGGTTTAGTGTTTAGGAGGGGGTGGGGGTTTAGGCTTTATAGGGGTTTAGGGTTTAGGGGTCTAGGTTGACACGACAGCTACGGGCATTGGTGGCCTTGCTTGGTCCACACGGAGGACAAGTCGCGACGAGGCGCAGCTTGAATCGTGCATTGAATCCAACGACCGCTAAAATTTTAAAAGTCTGAAGCCAAAACCCAACATCCTAAACAAAAGTCTTCTTTTTCCTCCTCATCTTCTTCTCTTTTTTGTTTTATGCTTATTGTTATCAGCATTTGTTGTACTAGTATTATTAGTATAGGGCTATTTCATTACAGGATCACCAACAGACAGAAGCCCCCTTCTTGCAGTGCATGGCCCCATCTGTTGTAACCCAAACCGGCAGCCTGAAAGTATTTCGGGTTGTTGGGTTTAAGGGCTCAGGAAGCTAGGGTTTTGTTTTTTTAAGGTTTAGGGTTTAGGGCTTAGGGTTTAGGGTTCCTAAACCCCAGTCTAGGAAGATAGAATGCAAGGATAAAGAAGTAGAAACCGGATCTCTCAGTTTCTGTCTGTCTCTGAAGTAACAATCTGTTCAACCCCAGTGCCAGTAGGTCCCCCAATATGGTTTCTATAACCCTAGATGAAAGTTTCCGAAATGAGGGGTACCTTATTTGGGGTCTCTATAAGAAGGATCCGACTATTTAGGGTACTACAGTAGGGTCCCCTAATTTCGGAAACTCGCATATAACCCTCCGCACCCCTTGTGAGCAAAAACGACACAGCCGACCTCGGTGTCGAGTTGAGCAAGAGCCGCTTTCTTCGCCTCTCGAGGGTGTTCTGCTTGGGTTTGTCACTTCTGCCCTCTTCTGCTTGTCTATGTGGGTGGTATAGGGGTCTTTTGGGGCTTCTACCGGGGGCTTAGGGCTTTCTTCAGGTTTGAGGATTTAGGGCTGAGGTGTTTTGGAGTTTAGTGGTTTCGGGGTGTGGGGTTCGGGATTGATGTATGCCCCTAGACGTTAATCTAGTGCGTTCTCTGACTAAAGGTCTCGGACTTTTCGGGACTTAATTTGCCTTGGGCTAGTAGGGATAATTGTGCGTTCGCGCACTCGAAGGTGGGGTCTGATCGATGCACACGCCTGCGATCACTGCTGCGTGTAGCACTGTATCTGCGTGTGGAGACCAGCCCATTAGCACCGTGCTGTGACACACCTCCGTCGACTGCTTTTTCCCCGACATAAACTTGCAGATCGCGGTGCACCGCCCGCCAGAGGCGCCTGCTCACTACTGAGGGCACGCATGACATCACGCCCAGCAGTCGTAATCGGTGATTGGACCGATTGAAACCAGGGCTCCAACCAGAAAGGTCAAGCGAAATCACCCCTGAGCCCTCGCCGAGCAAGCAGTTTTGCCCTTCATGAGCAGCCAGCAATGGCAAGGAGAAGTTAGCGCGGCTGTGGCCCAATTTCAATGCTGGCAGCTGTGTGGACGATGTTGCTGCAGATAGCACCAAGCGTAGCTCCTGCGACGCACTATATGTTGGTCAGACACTTTCTGCTCAGCTTTGGCAGATGCTTGGGCTTTCATAATATTTCGCGAGTAAGGGGCTTTGGTCTCGCAACATGCTTCAACGAAGTCATAGTACGGCACATTACACGCCGGCAATGAGCAGCGCGGTCCCATTTGCCATGTTCCAAAGCGCAGTCCCTGCCACCGGGTTTAGGGTTTAGGGTAGACAACAATATCAATGATTTTTTACTAAGACATAGCGGGGCGACTATTCCCACTATAACCACAGTTCACATCATGTCTGCATATAGTCGCATGCGTTGATTGGGGAGGATTACTGTAAGGTTACTTTTCGTGTAAAGTTTAAGTTGGAGCACTGCCTATGCACCTGAGCATGAGCTCTCTAAGTACTGCTTTTGAAAACAACTGTATCGGCGACGTCGCAGTGCATATCGCACAGGCAGTCTCGTGCGAACCTCTACGAGCTCGGACACTCTTGAGCCCTAAACCACCCCAGTCTAAGGTTATGAGTATAAGTACCTTAATCGGGGTTATAAGTAGAGTTACCCTAATTATAACCCTAGTTACTAAGTCCCATGATCCTTTAAGTAGGCCCTAAAACCCCTCTTATAATAGAACCCCTATAGATCCCCTTTAAAGGGGCCCTTTATGTCCCATGATCCTTTAAGTAGGCCTCGGCTGGGAAGCGCGCTTGTCGTCTCTAGGGGCCATGGGTGGCTAAGGCTACGGTTTGCTTGGAGGGTCGGGGGACTTAGTAGAGGGCTCCTTTAAGGGGATTCTAAGGGTTCCTTTAAAGGGCTCTATAAGGGTACTAAGGGGTTTAGGGTTTACTTAGTAAGTAGGTAGTAAGTAGACTTACAAGTACCCTAAAAGGGACCGTAATTGGGGTTATGGTACTGATAGGTCCCTAACATAACCAGTTACTAAGTCCCCCGTCCCTCCAAGTGGGGGGCCGAAGATTTCCATGAACACTAAGCCACTCCGCTGCCTCCCTTATATACCCAGACCTTCCAAAATCCCTTAATTAAGGAATATACCTTAAATTCTAATAGGATCCCAAATATGAGTAAAGGTATATTCCTTAATTAAGGGATTTTGGAAGGTCTGGGTAATCATCCCCGCACACCTTACGGACCAAATGCCCCCATCCCCTTAAGTCATCGCTTTCGGGTTTTAGGGCTTAGGGCTTCGGATGTAGGGTTCAGGGACGGGCACTTGGACACCATGGCCATGAACGCACTCAAACCCTATTTTTTTGAAAGAACGGAGAACAAAGTATATAGGCTTCAATCAGGGAGGGGCGAGTTGGGGGTGAAAAAGCTGGGCGTCATTTGGGTTGAAGTGCTTTAAGACCAGAGTCGAAACGACATATAACGACCCAAGCTGAAGCCAACTTCCGCCCCCATGCGCAATCGAACAAAGGCTCGCAACTGCACCCACTGTGGCCTCAAGCAAAGCTTTCTTCTTGGCCTGTGCGAGTCATTCAGGTGTTGAAGGACCACTTGTTTGCTAAGCTTCTAAATGAGCGTTGTGCGCAAAATCCATGAGATACGAGGGACCACGTGCGTTCGATGATCTACAGCTCAGGACAGCTGGACAAAGCTGCACGACCTAAACCCTAAACCGCGAAACCCTCATTCCGGAGTCTGCCAAACCCGAGACCTGGACTTTGACATGAAGTGACCAGGGAGAAAAAATATACACTACTATCTCAAAATGGTTCCTCCGAAGAAGGCCCAAGAACACCCTAGCCAAAACCAACCTTCAGTCCTTGCGTGTTGTGGCCGTGGGGGCGATGTGACACTAAGGGTCCATAGTACCCAAATTGCACGTGCTTGGGCCCTACTTGGAGGATCATGGGACTTAGCAAGTAAGGTTATAAGTACCTTAATTGGGGTTATAAGTATAGTTACCCTAATTATAACAGTAGTTACCAAGTCCCATGATCCTTTAAGTAGGCCCTAAAACCCCTCTTATAATAGAACCCCTATAGATCCCCTTTAAAGGAGCCCTTTATGTCCCATGATCCTTTAAGTAGAGTGCCGAAAAGAAAGGGGCCAGGGCTTACAGCGGTACCGCTTCAGGACTTCAGACCTGCGGGCTTCAGCCGCTTTCGGATTTTTAGGGTTTAGGGTTTAGGGGTTTAGGGGTTTAGGGTTTAGGGTTTAGGGGTTTAGGGTTTAGGGTTTAGGGTTTAGGGTTTAGGGTTTAGGGATTTAGGGCTTCGGGGCTTCAAGGCTTAAACATGGGGGTTTAGTAGGATTTCCAATTTGGGGCATTCAGGGAGAAGAGGCGGAGACTCGAAAACTGTGCTTTGGACGAGATGCATACACGGTTTAGGTTTTAGGGTGTTCTTATCTTTGTCATATCGATATCGACATCGTCTTGAAGTGACCCTTCATGGGTGAATGTTCCAACAGGTGGGCAGTTGCTGCACGGCTCTTGATTGAGGGATAAGCGTTAGAGGTGTAGGCTTGTGGGCAAACGCCCGAAACACCCACACCCCTGAAACCCTAAACTCCTAAACCTGAATCAGGCAACGCAAGGGCAAAAGTGATTAGCCGGCTGGGAGGCCAGACTTTTCGAGACAGCCGGGTATGGGCTTCCCTCACGTGATCCTCATTACGGGTACCCCGGCTCAAATATATATATATATATATATATATATATATATATATATATATATATATCCTAAAGGCCCCATGTGTTGAAACCCCTGGTGGCTTCCTATGACACAGGCCTGGATGATCGCATCCAAGTCTTCGGACTGTGCTTCCTGCTCACGCAAAGCTCCGGGCAGAAACAAATCGGTTAGGGAATCTGGGCCTTTCATTAGGGTTCCCTTATGGGTTCCCTTAGGGGTTCCTTTATGGGTTCCTTATAGAGGACCTAGTAGAAAAGTAGGTCTACAGCCGTGCAAAGTGGAGTTCCGGTATCCTTCCGGAGCCCTTTTAAGAACAGCTACCACAAGAATGGACTCCAGCTATTGAAGCCCTCGTCCCAGGACACCCCTCAACCTTAGGTACTGCCCCCATACAGTAAGAGTCTATAATAGGGCTACTATTAAGGTCCTAATATATCATCTTTACTATGAATATTATTCAACTATTACTGAGTGGGGGCCGTACCCAACCTCAACCCGTAAGTCTTCAGTACTCAACACCCCAAAAGGCTCTGCAAATCGGATCACATCCTACAAAGCACTCGCAAGAAACCCGATGAAGCCTGTATAAAACCTTGTAGCAACCTTACAAACGCCTTCGAGTAACTAACAAACTATCAACAATGAACACAAAACAAAGAAACCTAAACCCCAAACTCTAGCAGACTCGCCGACACTTCCCAAAGGCC